ATGTTTTTAAAATTCCACAGGGAACCTAGAATGAAAGAAATACTGGGGCTGCCTCTGCTGATTTCACTCTTTGCCAGTTCAAACCCACTCTGGATGCGCATTTTGTTTACAGTCCACACCAGGATCTCTTCTGGTGCGTGTCTGATGCGGTTTGCTGTGTTCTAGTACAGTTCTGTGCAGAAAAAAATGCAGCATATTCTACTTTTTTTTCTGCACTGAAAATGGACTGCACTAGTGTGAACTAGGGCCATTGGAATACATGGAAAACACTGTACATGCATTTTTGATGCAGAAAAAAAGAAAAAACTCACTGGACTGCATCTGGTGTGAACTGGCCCTTAGCTCTGGTTCGCACCAAATGTGGCTTTGAAATAAAGCTGAAGTAGTGTGACTTCAAAGCCGCAGGTCAGTATGATTTTATGTGCAGCTTGCCGACATAAGTGTGACTTCAAGCACGTCAATGAAATTTGCACATGAAATCGCCAAACATAGCGTAGGAACCTTTTTCAAAATTGGTGCAAGTCGCACCAATTTGAAAACTTCCATAAGCACAAATAGCGTGCAACTTTCCATGCAATTTTGTACTGTCAAATCGCATTGGTGTGAACGGGGGCTAAAAGGATAAGTTCACCTTTAGTAACATGTTACACCCATTTTCAAGGTGTAACATGTTACTAAAGCACCTGTCACCACCCTGACCCAATCCCACTGTGACAGAGCGTGGGGGATCCTCTCCCTGCAACCACTGTCGCAATTTCAAAAACAGCACGTCTGTGCGGGGCTCCACCCACATGGCCAAATCATTCATTCATAGTTTCCTGTGAATGAATATACTACAAGTACTGTCTTCCACTGCGGCAGGCGGCTTGAATTTCTCAATGAATTACAAGGGCACTGGTGAGCACTCTCGTAGTTCACTGAATTTCCTAGACTTCAGTAACTGCCTGCCCTAATGGGAGGTATGGGCAGACAGTTGTACTGACAGTCTGCAGGAGCCTGACATTGCACCCACGATCTGCTGATCATGGATGCAATGTTTTACAGACTCCTGTGAAAAAAAATAAATGCAATTTCTTGCAAAAAAATTATTTTATTATTTTTGTTTTTAAAGATGCAGTTATCCTTTAAAATACTACTAGCTGTTAGACTGACCTTCATTGTGTTCACAGATCAAAGCTCACTTCACTCACTATACAACTGTTCTAGGTCTGCGAGTCAAGGTACTAAAGCCCGGGACTACCAGGCAATTAGCATGTTCGGAAAAATAAACCTTTATTCTCTTGCAGGGCTGTGTGCTGATAGTATAGGACTCCTCTGGTGTCTCAATTCACATGTCCCCTTGCTGGCTGCTGTGGTTCCTCCTTCTGACCCCTAGTCACAGCAGGAGACAGCAGATATATAGGTGTTGTCAGGCCAGCAGGAGACATTTTATTCAACAAACCTGGAAATTAGGAATACTATCTGCACACAGAGCTCTGCAAGAAAGTGAAGGTTCCCCAGACAGTGTTGCTTAAATCATGGCCAATTCAGCAAGATTGATGTCATGTTACAGAAAGTGCATGCATGAGAAGCAATCATCCAGTGGTTCCAGGATCAATCAGGAAAATCCTAATAAAACATAATACATTTGTTCGCCACTGACCAGAATATCATGTGTATTTATGGTTTCAATTCCCGTATGCATATAATAGAAGGAAGAATGAATGAAGGGCAGCCTGTATATATAAGGGGGTCTTGTATTACATCGTGTAAGCCTAGTGATGCTCGGAGAGATGGGAGTCGCACAGCTGCAGACAGGACCTCGGAATGGTAAAGCCAGCTGTGAGTGAGTCAATCAGAATCAGTCTGATGAGATTACCAGCTGCAAATATTGACACGTCCTTCTCATGCAGCAACTGTCGCTATGCAATAAACAAGCAACCTTTGAGACATTGGAGGTAGTGTGGCGGCTCACCTTCTCTTTCTGGTTGATATGACTCAAAGACACAACCCTGATACAAAGGTCAGAAATGTCAGAACCAGGAGTGGCTGCTGTGCTACGGAGACCAATAAATCCCAGGCAGAGGTGTGCGATACTGAACAGATCATACTATGCTCCCTGCAGCACTGTCTGTACCATGAAATCACTGGGAGGTAGATGACATCATGTGCTGGAAGTTCCGCTTGTCTCGCACTCACAGCTGTCACAAAGTAACTTCTTGGAATAGGATTATCTTATGTTTGACAGCTCTAAACTGTACTTGACACAATGCAGAAAAAATCCCTGGCTAAAACTAGAGCTGGCCATTCATAAGTTGTTTTCTCTCAACCCGCTGACTGAATGACAGAAAATGACTTAATTCCCCATCCACACACTGGAGGTAGATGGGGAAATCCCTTCCAGTAAACCTTTGTATTCTGCGATTTTCCCACCATCAGAACACAATCATCAGCACCATCGGCTATAGCTGGTGATGCTGATCAAGAGCAGATTAAATAGTTCGCATTTTCGCCTGGCAGTACTGGGGTCGTTGGTTCGAATCCCAACCACGGCATCACCTGCTTGGATTTTGCATGTTCTCCCTGTGCCTGCGTGGGTTTCCTCCGGATACTCCGGTTTCCTCCCACACTCCAAAGACATGCTGGTAGGTTAATTGGCTCCTGTTTAAATTGGCCCTAGTATGTGTATGTATGAATGTAGATTAGGGACCTTAGATTGTACGCCCCTTGAGGGTTAGGGACTGATGTGAATGTACAATATATATGTAAAGCGCTGCGTAATTGACAGCGCTATACAAGCACCTAAAATAGTAATAGATTTTCCAAAATGCTGATTGTACACAAGTCAATCAATAGATCGACATGTGTACAACCATGCTGCCCATACATGGATTGAAATTCGGCTGGTCCCTGCTAAACTGGCTGAAGTTTGATCCATGTATGGCCAGCTTAAGATGCCATACATATGCCAACTGAAAACCAAGTAACAAAAAACATTTACCAACAGTGGGTAGAACATTATGATACAATGTATATACTAGCGATATGTAACAATGTCATAACCGGTAAGGCGACAACCTAAACTGACGGGATTAAGAGCCCCGCTAAATGATAGGATCTGTCAAAATGTTCCTATAAGAACGTCGATGCTTTTCATCCAAGAAGGATTAAAAGAGGTTTATCTTTTGAACGCAAGGAAAACAGCAATTTTGGGGTTAAACTGAAACAATTTAAAAAGAAACTTCACCAAAATTCTAAAAAGTAGAAAAAAAGGCAGAGTTAAAAATGAAATGTATGAAATGTTAATTGTAAAATACCTACTTACTTTTCCATGCAGGCTTACATTCTGTTGAACACTCCAAGCCCCTTGCCATTGTGTGTAACCCAGCCATGCCAATGCAGGACATAGTAACAGCAACATAAGCATCATCCGTCCTGCGTACGCACAGTCAGTGCTCTAGCGAAAATCATTTACATTACACATTACAATAGCATTGGCTACACAAATACCACTGGATTGGATTTGTAAACCAAATGATTCCTGCTAGAACGCTAGGTGTACCGCAAGTTGCACCACAAATCCTGCGCATGCGCGCCCAGTATAGTTCACTTCATACATGTCTAGGCAAGAAATACAGTAGAGGGATGGCAAAATGAAAAAGTATTTACAAAAATCAAAAAAAAAAAACCATCTTTGTGATTCTGTCAATGAAGGGAGCCCAAATAACATTAGGGAATATTGAAAATAAGAGTTTGCTTCAATAATCACTGAGCATAAGGCTCAATATTCCTCCGTCTGAGTGATGGACTGGCTGTATTTTCTAAAATGTATAGCAGGTAAAATAAAGATGTGCGTTTCTGACAGGTGAGGAGGTTGGACCTTTAGCCGTGGTTCACATATATGCGCCGTGCGAGCCACGTTTTGCGTGGGCACGAGAGCCCATTTATTTGAATGGACTCCCGTGCCTCGGGACACACAGGAAGAAGTCCCTTCACTTTTTGGAAACCGCAGCCTGCAGGGGAACCTCGGCTCCCATTTCGATTTCCAGTGCGGGCGGCATGCCATTAGAATTATTGGCACCTGCCCGCGGGTCCACATTCTTCTGTGCTGGTGGTGCAGCTGCACGGATTTTTGTGCGGATCCGCAGCAGCACCACTTGCACATATGTGAACCTAGCCTTAGAGTGTAGATAATTTACCGATGTACAACTACCATCTAATGCAGCCTCTCTCAACCAGGGTGCCTTATGGTTTCTTCAGGGGTGTCTTGGCAAAATGGCTAAAAATTGCCCCAAACTTATATACAAGCCAGCGGGTGGAACAAGCCTGACTTTTAGTTACACAAAGCCAAAGGTTTTCATTGTGAACCAATACGACCACCTAGCCGCGGACCTTCCAGCCCCCGGTGTACTGACAAACAATGATACCATCAGTTGGTAAGGAGGATGTCAGCTGCCTGCACAGCATCCTAGTTTGACCCTCCCCTCTCCATCAATGCTGGGGTCACAAAAGAATAAATCACCTCTAATGTTGGGTGTCTTACATGTGTGGATGTTGCTGTTACAATAGTTTTTTACACTTTAGAATGGGTGCCCTTTTAAAATTATGGACAGTATTGAGGCACCTCATTTTAGAATGGGGTGCCTCAAGACTGTCCATAATTTTAAAGGGTGCCTCGGGACTGTCCAAAATTTTAAAGGGTGCCTTGACTGAAAAAAGGTTGAGAAACACTGGTCTAAGATCTTGAACATGAAATTTTCAAAGTGTCACTACATCCTTTACAGAGCGGCAAAGATAACCCATGAGAACCAGACTGGAGCATTCATCAGTACAGAGGAATTGCAATGTGTCAGTTACTGGACTTTGTACCTGGAGCAAAGAAACCAAAGGTTTCTGGAAAGATCCAGAAAAACTATGGCACATTTTATATCCTTGTTGGAGGAAGCCATATGACAACAACCTACCTGGAAATGACAAAAAAAAATTCAATAAAATGGGAGATGTTTCCACCAAGTACCCACCTGCTATTCCTTGTAGCAGCCCGCAGACATTGAATATGCTCTTCTTCATCACACTTTGTACGCACATGGTAAAGACAGATACAAAAGCTACTATACATAGGATGGAGATGCCCACTGCTAGGAAGATAGCGGTAGCCTGCCAGAAGCCACTAGCTATCTCATTAAAATGTTCAGCATAGGGACCGCAAAGGGGGTCTCTCCGGAAATACTGCCCTTGAGGCATTTTAATACAACGTCCATAAATGCCCAGCGTTGGGCGATAAGGCTCCTGCGGCCATCCAGTCCTGTTTTCAATGTCACCATTCTTTGCTTTGCCAATCAGCCAGTCCTCGCTCATGAAAGCTATCAGTTCTCCAAAGGCTACTACAATGCTCAGGATGGTCCATAGCATAGAGCGGCATGTTACTATAACATGACACATGGTGGTGCCCACCGACTGTCCACAACCAGGGCGAAAAGCACACCAGATGAAGAAGTGATGGAGAAAAAGTAGAGGAATTAAAAGATCTATCCACCAGTCAGGAAAGGAAGAAATCCCGGCTTCTTGAGGCTTTGTAATCCAGACAGTGGTTTGTAGTCAGTGGAAAAGCTCGTCCTCTGCTGCGGAATTCCTCACTGCTAATGTTCATACTGAAACACGATGCTTCAATGTTTCAAGGGAGTTCCCAAGCTCCGCCCACAGGGATGACATCACTGACCTGCAGAAGGAAGCCACAAGACAGGCAAACTGTTAGCAGTGTTGACAGAACAGCTTCACCTCTTAAATCAATACCAACATCAATCACCATCATCAATCAACTATAGCAGGCTAATAGGGGAGTCGGGACACTGGAGAAATTTACATAGAATACAGGCTAGATGTCCATTATTCTTGTTGAAGACAATTAAATGTAACAATCTTAGGTTATCTGCGTGTGCCCTTCCCTCAAGATTCTAGCAATGCCGATTCTATACGAGATCCCGTACCATTTTTGTATTTCCTATATTTGTATAGCACTTTCCTATAACACAACATACACATTGTACATTAAACCATTTACATTCCCTATCAGACGGCAAACTCCTATTAATCAGAGCTATACCGGTCATCTACTATTCCTAAAGCAGCATTCACCCCAACAGCAAATATGTATTATATTAATGTGATGGCTGTATTCGTTTTCTTTCCATTTTCTACCTGGTAAACCGACCAGTATTTTTTTATTTTTAACAGAACAAGCCCTCCTGCAGATGTAGCAGCTAGAAAGTTGATACAAACTATTGAACATTGGCGGTCAGCCTTTATTTATGTAAATCTTTATCCCAAAAAGGAAAAAACTGTTGCTGTACCTGCTAAAAAGTGTTAGCTGGAATTTGGCTTCAATTTGTTAGTGTAGCTAAATCAGCTAAATCTAACACACCCCTCTCCCCTGACAATGCTACGGTCCAAAGGTACCCCAGGAGTCTACCCCTTCTTCTTGGTCCAAACAAGTATCATAGACAATAGCCAACAGCCAAGTATCATAGACAATAGGGGCAGCACAGTGGCTAAGTGGTTAGCACTTCCGCCTGGCAGTACTAGGGTTGTTTGTTCGAATCCCAGCCACGGCACCGCTTGCATGGGGTTTGCATGTTCTCCCTGTGCCTGCGTGGGTTTCCTTCGGGTACTCCGGTTTCCTCCCACACTCCAAAGACATGCTGGTAGGTTAATTGGAGCCTGTCTAAATTGGCCCTTGTATATGAATGTGAGTTAGGGACCTTAGATTGTACGCCCCTTGAGGGTTAGGGACTGATGTGACTGTACAATATATATGTAAAGTGCTGTGTAAATTGACGCCGCTATATAAGTACCTGAAATAAATAGCCAACTGTGCTGTTGCAAGTACACTAATATGACATTACCCTTAAAGCTGAACTCAAATATATAAGACACAACTGAATGCAGCTCTGTAATCATTCATGCATCATTAAAAAGATTTTCTGAATGAAAAATAATATGTAAAAAAAATTGACCAGATATTTGCCTCTAGCAGTCCTTGCACAGCAGGGCTGGAGTGTGAGAGGAAGAAGCAGACCAAGGAGTCAATCACTTCATGTGCTGATGAGGAGCAGAAAGCAGTGACAAAAAATGAGCTCCTTACTTCTCCTTTCTTTGTCCAGTCACAGGCTTGGTGGGTCCAGAATGACCTGCGCTCAGAATGACCTGGGCTCAGAGAAGTGGGTTGAATAATACTTGCCATAAAACTGAGGACATCTAGCAGTAGAAAAAAGTACTGCAGGGAAGATCTCTGGATTGAGCTAAATATTGCGGAAAAGGCTGGTTTTGTTAATTTACCTTTTTAATGGGCTGTTTATTTCTTTCTTGTTTTGGATTGAGTAATGCTTTAAGCATGATGATGTGTAGCGCTTGTTTGGAGGGTATTCTGACATGCCTGAGTGATGGGAATGGAATAGGCAACATTTTGGCTCAGTAGAGAATGTTACAGCTTCCACTGCATGCGGACTACCAATGTAATACAAAGACAAATTCTTACTCCATTATGTGTTACCCTCTCAATAGTTAAACAATGAAGCTCTTTCTTTAAGTGTACGGCGGAATGTGAAATGATTTGCACTACAGTCATTCCCTCCAGAGGTCCAGGCAGAGTGACAGAAGTACAGCTTGGTATGAAGGTACAGGGTGACCCGCAGTGTACTCCCAATGCTGGGATGGAGAATGGGATGGATGACACACACTTTAGTCACACTTCTCTCACTGACTTGCTCTTTAGCAGCAGCATGTGAACAGAAGAAACCCGGCCAGGGATAGATTACTAACCTGCATTTCACTGCTCCCTGCCTGACTAATGGATGGGTGCTACAATGTGCACCAGGGTGTGAGTACTGTCATTTACAAAGACGTAAACTATACCCTCACTGTTGGATGCAATAATCTTCACATCTCAGTTAAGATATACTGAGGTAGCCCAATGGTATTTTCAGTTCAAACAATGACCCCATGACCAAAATGACTCTAAGGATAAGGCCACCAAGACTGGAGGTAAGACCACCAAGGTTGGGGAACTGCGAGGCACACATTGTAGGACATGTAGCCATCCTCCCATTACTTTAGGTTAACTTGTTCTTCTTCGTTCATACAGGCATGTGTTTTTTTTTGGAAGAAATGCAGGTTCTTCAGTGAAATACTCACTAAGGGCTCGTTCACACTTGACTTTATTTCTAGCTCTTGCCAAACGCCCCTATAGCATTAGACAGGCATTTGGGAAGTGTTTTTAAACGCTCCTCAAATGCCCCATGGGCGGTTTTGAGGCGGTTGATAGCCGTTTGCCAAGCGTTAAAACCGCACCACAAATGCCTATAATGAAGTTAAATGGTATTAACACTACATAACCGCGTCGCAACCGCACTGCACCCCCCTGCCAGGCGTTTGCGGAGTGCCACCATAGACTTGAATGGGAGGCTTCAACTCCTCCTGACTCAACACGAGGCTTCAGTTTTGCAGCGACGCTAACACTTCAGTGTGAACAGCTCTGTGTGCTGCCATGTGAAGAATTTTCATAGGCGTTTGAGAAGCGTTAAAAACGCTTCCCAACGCCTGTCTGACGCCTGCTGACAAAGCTAGTGTGAACTAAGCCTTAAAGTACTGACGTTTAGACGTCATTTTTGTATATTTTTGTACGCAGCTAAACACTGAACGTTTTGTTTATGGACGCAGCTGTATGGCCCCATTGATAACTACAGTGCTGCATTTAATTGTGTAAAACTATACCATGTATGTATCTAAACACTGCATTTTAGGAGTATTTTCGACACCATGTGAACGACAGAATTACGTGTATGTTAATGTTTACGCCATCAGTGCCCATGTCAAAAGGCATGTAGAATTTGAAAGTATTATTTATCACAGGTAATTATATACCACCAACAATTCATGCAGCACTCTACAAATATTGTACATTCACATCAGTACCTGTCCTCAAGGAGCTTACAATCTAATGCCCTGTACACGCTATCAGCTTTTTTGGTTCAATCGGGCAGGCTGAAGGAAAAAAAAAAAAACGGAGAGATCGCTGTACTAACACAAGTGGTGTTAGTACAGCAATTACCCCTGCTGCGCCGCCCCCCACTAGAACAAACTGATCAGTGCTTTCAGTTATTGGCTGAGAGCGCTGATCTAAATCCAATCAGCAGACCTCCTTCAGTCATGCCCCTTCGACAAAAGCCGGACTGGCTGCTGTACACACAGGCCAAATGTCAGCTGGTGGCTGTTGAACCAGCCAATACCTCCCGATATTCTGCTCATGTGTATGGGGCTTTAGGTCCCCATCTCACATGCAGAAATACACACACACACTAGGATCAATTTCAACAGAAGCCCATTAACCTACCAGCATGTCATTGGGGTGTCGGAGAAAACCCTTTGCAAGCAAATGCAAACTCCACGCAGATAATGTCCTGCCCGATTCAATCCAATGCTACAAAGGTAAAAAAGTCAAGACCTGAATCCAGACGTTGAAGTACAACTACAAGCAAAACTTTTTTTTTTTCATTTTGTATAGAGTAAGGAGGGTTATAACCCATCAGTTTATTTTTTTTCTCTCTGTATCCCATTGGGGAGATTTACCTTCACTTCCTGTCCCATAGCCAAAACAGCAAGTGAGTGACAATCCCCACAGATTGGGGGAATTTCTTGGGGACCCCAAGTCACAGAACTAGTGTTCCCATTGGAAAATTTCTCCTCTATTACTTTTGTGGGGAGAACTCAAAATGTGAGGGTATCTCTTTACTTTCACTTTTGTTGATAAAGATAAACAGGACAAATAGAGAGGGTGAATCTCAATAAAAACCTAATAGGTGTACTAATCCCTCTCCATTCTATCCAAAACATATATAATAAAAAAAAAAACAAAAAAAAAAAAAACAGTTTTTCCTATAGTTATACTTTCAGTACTACCTTTATTATTATCCAACTTGTGGTTGACTTGTAGTCTTCCAGCCAATATAAACAGAGTGCAGCCAACATTAAAGTAGAATTTCATGCATAAACTCCCTCTAGAACATTCATTCACATCAGATTTCAAGTAAAAGTTCGGTTAACCCTAATTAAGGGATAGCTTCATCTTTTGCAGGTAAAAAAATGTGCATTTACAATTTTTTTTTTGAGCCTGGAAAACATTGCACCAGGGATCAGCAGATCGCTGGTGCCATGCAGGACTCCTGCATACTGTCATTGTAGGCTGTCTGCATATATCTTGTACGGGCAGACAGTTTAACTCTGATAAGAAGAATCCAACTACATAACCAGGCATATGTACAACACGATGCTGATAGGCTCCCTACATAACCAGGCATATGTACAACACGATGCTGATAGGCTCACTACATAACCAGGCATATGTACAACACGGTGCTGATACGCTCACTACATAACCAGGCATATGT